CATGCTTTCCATGGATTTCCATGGGAATTACCAGTATTCCATGGAAATAACCATTTAAAACCATGAAATTTCCCATGGTAATTACCAGTATTTCATGGAGAAAAAGCATGGAATTTTTCATGGTATTTACCATGAAATACTGGTTTTCTTTGATTTTTTTTGATTTCTGTGGTTATCAGGTTATTGCGCATTTATCTAAGTAAGCTTGCGTGTAATCTGTCCAAACACCAACAACCACTAGTACTAGAAAGAATTCTTTCTGCCATGATTTTTGTAGTTAACCAAACCCTTTTGTACACAGATCTTTATTCCGAATGCAACAAAAACTATGATTTAAGTTGCGCTTCATCTAAATAAATGAGTGGAAATGACAAAAACTACTTGTTTTAGCGTATGAAATATGCGTAGCTTGATTTGTTATGATCAGTAATGAACGCCACATAAACATTATACATAGTTTAATCAATTTGTTTACAGTACGATAAAATTTTGAATTTTCATCAGAACACATTATCACGCGGTACTAACTCACTGGGGAGTATCGAAACCAAAACGCCCCGCAAAACCGTTAATTTGAATTTTAAACCTACCCTTTCTTTAGAAAATCAATGATTGTGAGTCTCACAGTACACCGTTTTTCTTCAAACTTGTTCCATTAAAACCTTCACAGAAATACCTTTCACTCGGTACATTGTTTTTGTGTACAGAGTCGCTCGTTTTAGCGGCATTTTGGTCCCCAGATGTGAGAAGATGCAAATCTTCAGAGATTTCAACCAAAAGCCTCGATATATCGCCAGTTCTTTCAATATTCTCCCCTATATTTTGCACAAGGACTCCTATTACAACCCTCCATCTCTGCATCAACATATTTTTTACATTAAACAAAGGTATTTCTGTGAAGGTTTTTATGGAACAAGTTTGAAGAAAAATGGTGTAGTGTGATACTCACAATCATTGATTTTCCAAAGACAGGGTAGATTTGAAATTCAAATTAACGGTTTTGCGGGGCGTTTTGGTTTCGATACGCCCCGGTGAGTTAGTACCTCGTGATTATATCAGTAACAAATACATAAATAAAAAATAAAGCATTGAGTTCTGGTTTATTATAAAAGTATTGGGATATCCGAATCTGAACGATGTCTCAGGGGAAAGGTTTCAGCAAATGCTCATAACATATTATTTTTGAAAGACAATTGATAGCCATTGATCTGTACTTATTTTCTATTTGTGCCAGACAAAAACATTGATATCATTAGAGACTTGCGAGTGAACAAATCAATATTTAATACCATATGATTTCAATGTTATATGAACATTATGTCTGTCATTTCAATTCGTTAAAGTGATAGATCATCTAAGATGGTGAGTAAAAACGTGTAAAATCCATATTTTGTATTTCAGTAAATGTTTCATTCATGGTATTTCCAAACATCCTGATATCTAAAAAAAACTGGTAAGAAGGTGGATAAAAGTGGAGATATGAATATTATGTTCATATTTTGAATCAATCTAGATTTATTGTAAAAGAGTTGTAAAAGAGTTGTATTCATATACATGTACATTTGCTGAAACATTAAAATCCAAAGTTGCTGTCAGTCCATTGTAGGCATGGTAAATGAAGAATAAAAAGTGTTTAGTCTCTATTTATTCTTGAAAATAGTATATCTATTTTTTCTTGAAAATAATAGTTTCGTATAATTCTCAGGTGGTAGTTCTGCTTTACAAACTGTAATTATCAAAAGCACTCTTGCAGTAAAATATGTATTCACAATAACAACAACACTATGACCACGTTAACATTGTATTATAATATATAGAAAACCGCATTGTATAAAGGTTTAACTACCGCATTTTTCAAAATCTACCGAAAAATACCGCATTTCGGCAAATCTTCCGCAAAAGTACCCGTTTTTCAAAAAATTACCGTAAAAACTACTGCAATTTTCAAAATCTACCGAAAAACTACCGCATTTTTTCAAAATCTTCCGCAAAAGTACCGGTTTTTCAAAAAATTACCGTAAAAACTACCGCAATTTTCAAAATCTGCCGTAAAACTACCGCATTTTTTCAACATTTTCCGCAAAACTACCGGTTTTTCAAAAAACTAACGTAAAAACTACCGCATTTTTTCAAAATCTACCGTAAAACTACCGCATTTTTTCAGAATCTTTCGCAAAACTACCGGTTTTCAAAAAACTACCGTAAAAACTACCGCATTTTTTAAAATCTACCCTAAAACTACCGCAAAATTACACTTTTTTCAAAAATCTACCCCAAACCTCTGAAACTACCGTTTTTTTCTAGAATCTACCGCAATTTTGTTGAAAAATACAGCAAAAACTACCGTATTTTGAAAAAATCTACCGCAAAAATACATTAATTTAAAAAAAATCTACCGCAAAATTTTGGTCTTAGGTTGGCAGGTATGCACATTTATCATTGTTAATCTTAAATAACTTCAATTGATAACTGAATTTTGTCATCCCCTTAATAGATTGATTCTACCTTTGAATAAGAACTTTAGTTTCATATGAAAGTTATATTATACTAAATTATGATTTTCCCAAATTAAACAACAAAATTAAGAATTCTGAAAAATTGATTTACTGATTTTAGTTTTTAAGCTACGTGATGAAAAAAAGAAAAAGGAATAATGACGAATAGTGACAAAGATAATTGACAGAATGATAGAAATGTAAGATTTGACTCAGTTCTTGACCTTGGCTTTTCTGTGTCCAAATTTTATATTAAAGGAGCTTCAAGGCCTCGTCTATTGAAGGCAGGCCCGTAACCAGGGGGGGGGGGGGGTTCGGGGGGTTCGGGCGAACCCCCCCTGGCCAAAATTTCTTTCAAAATCATGCAGTTTTCACCATTCTGACTATTTTTTGAGTGATTTTTGGCCAAATTTGCTAATGTGAACCCCTCCTAGAATTTTTTGGAAAAGTGAACCCCCCAGTTGGAAAATTCTGGCTACGGGCCTGGTTGGGTTTCATTTATTTTATTTGTATCCAGTCTTTATCTCGTATATTTACAATTCATAATTTTCTTGAGCTCCATAGATTTAACAGAGGGATATCATCATATCGATTTTTTAAACTTCGAAACATCATAACTTCTGAACCGGAAGTCAAATCGAAATTTGATTTGCAGATTTAGATTTCTGGGAAAATTCTACCCTTATTTCATAACTCATGCAATAAATTTCGCGATTTTTTTATTTTGACCCTCTTTAAGGACACCATATCTCAAAAGTGGGTCAAAATACGTTCTGACGACTAAAAGCTAACACTATTAGCACACTCTTTTCCACCTATATACAAAATTTTGAAGCAAATCATGAAAGTGTAGTGTCAGAATCGCAAAAATAAGTAAAAACTATGACTTTGACCTAGATTTTGACCTAGGCATTTTGGTGTCCAAATATTGAAACTTGGTAGCTTTTGAGGTCTTTTATAGGAATTCATTATCTTAAGCTGAACTCAGTCTATATCTTGTATTTTACACTTCAAAAAAGTATTTTTTCCTATTGACTTAACATGGGGCACCAAATTTAGTGATTTTGAGCTTTCAAACCACCATTTCTTCTGAACCGGAAGTCGGATCTAAATTTTGTTTGCAGATTCTACCCTTATTTCATAGCTCATTTGTTAAATTTGGAGAACTTTTTAGTTTGACCTACTTTCCGAGCGCCATTTCTCAAAATCAGTAAGAGTAATCAAAAAATGGATGGCACACTCTCGATTTGTTTTTTTCTAAGCTATATAAAAAGATGTACATCTAGGTGTTACAATAAATAATGACGAAGATAATTGACAGAATGTTAAAAATGTAAGATTTGATCTAGTTCTTGACCTTTGACCAAGATAAAAATTTGACCTAATTTCCCAGAAACAAGGTTACTGGGCTATGTTAGCCATGTAAGTACATGTAGGTTAAAGTAAGTTCTTCTAGTTGCTGAGAAAAAGTGTTCGGAAAGAAAGAAAGAATAAGAAAACTGACTCCAGATTTTCAATGCCATCTTTGTATCTCCTTCTAGATTCAACTGGCTTCCACTTTAGACAGTCAAGAGTTTTGAAGTATTTGATCTTGTAATGCTCAAGAGCAGCTGAGTTTTGTTACTTACTAATTATTATTATATACCTCAAATGTATTCTAGATGCTCATTGGCTTATTCATGGTCACATGACATGGAATAGATGAACTAATTCCCTGGAAAGTCCTAAATCCCTGCTTTCAGGGAAGATGAATTGTACTAATCACCAGTTAGGTCATGTGACCAGTCAATAGTACATTTTATCTTCCCCCAAATCTGAGATTATAGGAGTTGAAAGGTAAAATGCCTTTAAATGCCAATAAGAACCTGTGAACATTTGATATTGAAATAAAAACTTCTCATTTTGTTTTTGTTTACAGAGTACTTATCAGGTATATAATAAAACAAATAGTGACTGCCACATTTTTGGGAAATAGTGTAAAAATTTTCCTCTCGGGAATATCCTGTCCACTGACTTGTTCCCTCGGCCTGCAGCCTCGGGAACATGTCAGTGGACAGGATATTCCCTTGAGGAAAATATTTTGCACTATTTCCCTCAATGGCAGTCACTATTTGTACACTAATGGTCAATAAATATTTCAAAAACCGGTTGCTTTAAAATATTATCAGCTTAGTACTGTATGGAAGTCTCTACTTGAGTCTAGTTCATAGTACCAGTTAATATTTGTATGATCTTTACAATGGTATACTTAAATCTGAGACATTTATATAGTTTACATTAAGAGGGGTGTGAGTGCATAATCGGTAGACACCCTGAAGTGTACTCTACACAAGGAAAATAGAAATATTATTTGGAATTACAAGATAAATGAACACATTTACAGTGATTAGTGGTTGGTTCCTTAGATAGTATATGACTGGCTTGAATTATATCATACAGCTAAATAACCATTTACTGTGTTTGTTTAGAGTTGACATCTGTGTTTATTAATTTGTTTACTTTCAGATTTCCCTCCTTCCAGTTCCTGGGATTTGGACAAGTAAGTGACTTTTAAAAATATCCACCTCAGAATGAGTCCAGTCAAGTATTCTTTAACATCGATCGGATGAAGAACGATATTATGATTTATGACTTATCTTATGCCCAGTAGAGTTTTAGGGAGATAAGTTGATAAGATGTATTTCATATCTTGATTTTGAGGTTTCCATATCCAGAATCTCCATATCTCCAAACTACTGGGTATAGGATAAAGCAGTTATGTACAGTCGGTCTGGATATGAGGTTTATCCATAACCCTTATAATAGTGGTCCCACACCCTCAATGAGGATCAACTTTAAACCAAGACAGGTTGTCTTAATTCATATCAGAGTCACTAGGGGGTATTGTGATGCAACAACACTGTGTTGTGTTATTGAGAAACTCGTCTTAGAAATGGGTTTAAATTGGGGAAACAAAATATTGTACGAAAATCTATCACCGGAAGTCTGGCCATCTTGATGCAACAACACGGTGTTGTTGCATCACGATACTCCCCAGTGAGAGTGGGTGAATTCCTGAAGCAGAGAATTTCTGTTTTCTCAATTTATTGCTTTCATTTTTCAACATGAATTCTAATTTTGAAATATGTTTATATCTCAGAAATTACCACAGCATACATTAGATATTTACAAATCAATTCCCTTGTCCCTCTTAATTTTGTCACCACATTTCCAGGAACCTTTTGACAGATTGATTTCAAATTTTCAGGGATGTTCCTCCATATTAAAATCTAGAACTGATTAGTTTTTGGGCATGGTGGGTAAAAGTCTTGTCTACATGTTTCCAGGTGAATCGTTTCATGGATTGATTTCAAATTTTCAGGGATATTTTTTATACAAGAAAAACTGATCAGTTTTGGGCATTTTTGGTAAATGATAAGGCAGTCGTTTTGGATTATCCTTCCTAAAATCGTGTCTGCATTTCCAATTTTCTTGGTTGTTTCTGAATTCTTTATCCTCTGACTAACTAGATTTAATCTGTACTGCTGTATTTAGTCAGGTGTAGTATTGTTTACTCAACATTTCTCCAAGACTTATACCACTAGTATTTTTATGTTATTGAACATTTCAGATGTTGTTCACAGTTATTTTGCTGTTTATTGGGAAGAGAGTGGGCATCATCACATATCCTGATTTATCCTTGGACATTCCAAAAAAAGTGAGTACATGTATGTGTATATTGCAAATAAATCAATGCTTAAAAAAGATGCCTTTAATTGTGAGTAATTGTTATCATACTCTTGTTTTCACTCCATCATCCTTATCTATGCATCTATTATCGCTTCATTTGTCTGTCATCTTTGGAAAACATGCATGTATGACTATTTGGATGCTTGAAAATCCCTTGGATGGAATAAGTTAAATATATAGAGATTATCCTATATGAGGTTCAGGATATTGGGATTATCCCGAGGCTAATATAATATATCTGCCTGAGGGCCGTAGGTCCCGAGGGTAGATATAATTTATTGGCCAAGGGATAATCCCACTATCCTGAACCGACTATAATATACCAATCTTGGTCATCTGGTTCACATTGTTCAATTTGTTCAAAATATTTCCAACCAACCATGGAAATATTTTAGAATATTCATGTCCAGTTTTTTTTCGCACTTTGAAAAAGTGCTATATTGTCGTCGTCTTGTGCTGTTGGGCGGGCGGGCGGGCGGGCGTGCGGGCGGCACATAAACCAAATCTTGTCATCAAATTTCCAGGATAACTGCTTACCTGTTCAACTTGAAATTTTTACAGATGCAAGAGCAGACTAGTACCAAGATCTGATTAGGTTAAGGGCATGCTGGGTAAACTACGTGGCGGCCATTTTGAATCATCAAAATTCCAGGAAAACCACTTATCCGTTCAACTTGAAATTTTTACAGATGCAAGAGCAGACTATTGCCAAGATCTGATTAGGTTTTGGGTATGCTGGCTGAATTACATGGTGGCCATTTTGAATTTTTCAATTTGGTGGCCATTTTGAATTTTTCAACTTGCTCCAAATTGACCAAATCTTTTTTTTAAAAACATCTACAAGTTCTCAGAAGTTCAAATCTGACCTTAGATTTCAGATTTGACCTTTCATTCACCTTCAGTGACCTTGAAAAGGTAAAAAAGTTGATTTTCTAAATTGATATTTTGGATTTAAATTTAGGTTAGCTTAATTCACGGGGTGCCATCGAATAATTTTGGCAACGTACCGGAGAACGACATTTTACTAAGAAATGGCAATAATTTAGCACAATATATTTTTAACTCGAGTTCTACTTTGATTTTGACAAAAGTAAGTATTCCATGCAATGGCTATTTCATTCATGAGTTTGAAGGAATTCTGTTAGAACCCAGTTCTGATCAAGTACGAAGTTATTGAAATCGGCGCAGTCGGACTTTACTCCGAAAGATGGTTTTTCGATTATAACTTTTTACAACAGTTAAGTATAGACTTTTGAAAAAAGTACAGAATAGTCCTTATACTATTGAATAATTCTGTTATTTCTGATTCACACGACTCTGATTTGTAAAGTTTTAAAAATATTACTTAGGAACGTAACCAGAGCTGGGAACGTAACCGGAGCAGATCAGTTGAATTATATAATTTAAAAAAATACAATATATGATTTAAAGCATATATATTATTTACAAACACATATGAATGTTAAAATGAGCATTTATTACCCTTCACTTACAGGAAAATCAATGCATGGCAATTAGTATAAATTAGAAATTAATTAGAAATTAGTATAACAGAGTGGGTTCTAATAGTTCGCTGAACAAATACAATAGGTGAAATCAAATGGAATTATTTGCTTACTACATTTAATCACTTCATTCTCCATACAATGATTGTTCTATGTTTGATAGCCTTTCTAAGGTAAGTGCACTTATGCATGGTAAATACCAAATTTAATTTTTCACAATGGATAAATTTTTTTCTTTAAATAAAATGTAATAAATACGCATTCGAACAATCCCGTATGTTTTTAAATTAGTATATGTGCTTTAAGTCTGTAACGGGGCGAGTGTAAGGCCCGTGGGTGGCAAATAAAAGTAACAGATAACTAAAGTTAAAACATATAAAATAGTCTATTTCAAATAAACTTCAAACGTTCTCTGTACAATCTATATTATCATCTAACTCTAAGCAACTACTGAGGCTGGGCCAACACCCAAACTCAGCTACATGTGAGTGAATGCTATTATATGGAATACAAAAACAGTACGAAACAATCACACCATGAAAAGCTAAAAATTGCTTTAACCTTTAGCAGACCACCGGCGACCGCGTCCGCCCATTCAAAATTACCGCCAGAATCCACCGGCGGATCAGGACGACACAAATCTAACTTTTGAAAACTTTACTTTTTCCCGCCGTTCTTATGATCCAATTAGATTGCCCGATTTATTCAGTCCTTAGTAGGTGACTTCCTGTTGACCTAGAAATGGCGATGTTTCGAAAAATATTTCTCAATTCAACAATTTAAACAGTGTTTAAGTCGTTTTTAGTGAACAAATCGTACAAAATGACGGCCAAATACGATCACAACGAAAATGTGGAGGAAATGGATTGCGATTTCGAGCTCTTTAGGCTCTTGGAAGCCGATAATGGTCATCGAAAATAGAAACTAGAATATTTTCTGAACTGAAAAGAAGAACATTCGATCGCTGCAAATTCAGTTTTGGATTCTGACCAGACGTTGAATCTCCCCAGGGGCGAAACGGCAGATTCCGGAGGAGTATTCATGGTATATTTATGCCCAGTCGTGTTTATGTACGAAAAAAATTCATGAGAACATTTTTCTCATGAGCCAGGCTAGTGTATCTTCCCTTTGTGAAAATTTTATCCAGATTCATTCTGTAGTTATTGAGATATTAATTATTTAGTCCAGGCATATCATTTTTGAAAAATAAGTCAGATACGTGGGATATATTTGCTGAAATAAGTCAGAGTGCAGAAGGTTAAATAAAGGAAGATAAAGTAGAAAGTATACAAAAGAATTGAAAACATTGGAATTAAATATTTGAAACACTGGTGTAAAGTAATAAAGGGACCTGTTAAAATGACATGGATGGGGATTGGTCAATATGAAAAGTAGAAATATAAACAATGTGAAAATGACCATGTTACAAATCATATATTTTAATTTTTTTGATTAAATAATTCAACTGATCTACTCCGGTTACGTTCCCAGCTCCGGTTACGTTCCTAAGTAATATTTTTAAAACTTTTTTTTTAATTAAACAAATTAAATTATAACTTTTAATTTAACAAATTATTGCCATTTCTTAGTAAAATGTCGTTCTCCGGTACGTTGCCAAAATTATTCGATGGTACCCCGTGTAATTACAAAACACCTACTGAGGTCTGAAAAAGTTAAATTTTCAAGGTCGAAGGTCAAGGTCATTAAACTAGGTCACAAATGATGTTATCCAAGTTTCTCAAAGTTTGAGACTACAAATCAATTCTTGTCATCAAAATTCCAAGAAAACCGCTAACCTGTTCAACTTGAAATTTTTACACATGCAATAGCAGACTAGTGCCAAGATCTGATTAGGTTTAGGGCATGCTGGGTAAACTACGTGGTGGCCATTTTGAATTTTTCAACAAATCTTGTCATCAAAATTCCAGGAAAACCACTCCTCCGTTCAACTTGAAATTTTTACAGATGCAAGAGCAGACTATTGCCAAGATCTGAATAGGTTTTGGGTATGCTGGCTGAATTACATGGTGGCCATTTTGAATTTTTCAATTTGGCGGCCATTTTGAATTTTTCAACTTGCTCCAAATTGACCAAATTGTTTTTTTTAAAAACATCTACAAGTTCTCAGAAAATCAAATCTGACCTTAGATTTCAGATTTGACCTTTCGTTGACCTTCAGTGACCTTGAAAAGGTCAAAAAGTTGATTTTCTAAATTGATATTTTGGATTTAAATTTAGGTCAGCTTAATTACAAAACACCTACTGAGGTCTGAAAAAGTTAAATTTTCAAGGTCGAAGGTCATCAAATTAGGTCACAAACAATGTTATCTAAATTTTCCCAAAGTTCAAGACTACAGATAAATTCTTCTCATCAAAATTGCAGGAAAACCGCTAACCTTGTCAACTTGAAATGTTTACAGATGCAAGAGCAGACTAGTGCCAAGGTCTGATTAGGTTTTGGCCATGCTGGGTAAATTGCATGGTGGCCAGTTTGCTCTTCAAAGTGCGATATTTATCACTGTGTGTCTTGTTTATCTTGGCCATGGCCAGATTTCCCTGTTCTTTCAGATATTCGCACATTTATTTTTTTGATTATTAACAGGATGCTCCTTCTCTTCTTCAAACCATCAAACAGATCGTGATTTTCTTTGTTTTTCTCCATTGTCGTTTATACAGTAATAATGCGAATGTTACAACAAATGAACCATTATGCGAACGACGATTATGAGGAACAAGATGTAAAGCTATATCTGCTCGCTGATGAAAATGTGCTTTATGTACATGTAACACATCCAAGTATGAGATAAAGTTATTTATCCCATACTTGGACGTGTTACAAGTATATAGAGATTATCCTATATGAGGTTCAGGATATTGGGATTATCCCGAGGCAAATATAATATATTTGCCCGAGGGCCACAGGTCCTGAGGAAATATTTTATATTGGCCAAGGGATAATCCCAATATCCTGAACCGACTAGAGGATAATATGTTTATCCCATACAAATCTTGGTCATCTGGTTCACATTGTTCAATCTTGGAAATATTTTAGAATATTCATGTCCAGTTTTGTTTTCTTGGCCGTGGGCAGATTTTCCTGTTCTCTCAAATATTCCCACATTTATTTTCTCGAATTTTTTGATTGATTAAGTGGATGCTCCTTCCCTTTTTTAAACCATCAAACAGATCCCGATTGTCTGTGTTTTCTCCATTGTCGTTTACAGTCATTACGCGAACAATACAAATTATGAACAAATATGCGAGCGGCGATTATGACGTAGTGGGCAGATATACTATATCTGCCCGCTCGGAGCGGGAAGTAAAGCTATATCTGCCCGCTGATTAAATTATAAGTTTTTACAAACCAGCTTTATGTACCTGTAACACGTCCAAGTATGGGGTAAATAGCTCAAATATTTTTCGTATGTCCCGCTCCATCGGAGCTCCGGGACATATAAATCGT